ACTTCATTTTTTATAGTGGTTTGCAAGATCTTTCCTCTGTGGGGATTTTCTTTATATGGTATAATCAAAGGGTGGATCTTCCCATTCATATTAAGCTTGACAAAATTCTGGTTAACACTATTTTTCTTGATAGTTATCCCTCTACTTATTACAAGGTGGACCCTCCTTCTGGGTCAGATCACTCCCCGCTTATTTCGATGGCTTCTTCAGTTAAAAAAATCTTCTTTAGGTTCATGTTCAAGGACTTTTGGATTAACATGGAAGGATTTTGGGATGAAATTCTCTTAGCCTTTAGTAGGCCCATTTATGCAAGTCCCATTGCTGGTTTTTACAACTATTTGAGACATCTCAAGAAAGCTCTTAGAGATAAAGACTATGCCTCCTCTAATTACCTTTATAAATCTATTTTGGAAGCCAAAAGTTTGCAACTTCAATGCCTTTTTCATATTCAAAGTAACCCCTTGGATCTGGGTTATAATGCTTCCCTTAAATGTGCTAATGATAATTTAATTCGTTTACAATCATAATGGTCCTCTTAGATCTCCCAACGGGCTAAAGCTTATTGACTCTCTCAAGGGGAGGATGATCTTGGCATCCTTTATGCTAAGATTAGATCAAAAAAGAATATAGACTTTATTAAAGAAATTTCTTCCCACGGAAGTCTTCTCACCTCTCATCAAGGCATTGTTGATGCCTTGATTGATCATTTTAAAGCTATTTTCAATGCTCCTAATCCAATTCATGAGGATTCCTATTCAATTCCTGTGGGTAACATGGTCCTTCTCATTTCTTGGATTCCTTAATGGCTCTAATTGCTGATCATGATATCAAGGAGGTTGTTTTTGCTGGTGCTGCTACTTCTGCCCCGGGTCCATATGGTTTTTCTATTGGTTTTTATCAACAAGCTTGGCACATTATTGGCTTTCATCTCTATAATGTTGTTAAACATTTTTTCTCTATTGGTAACATACCAAAAGGTGATAAAGCTACTGTCATCACTCTTATTCCCAAAGAAACTCACTCCTCCACTATTTCAGACTTTAGACATATATCATTATGCAATGTGTTTTACAAGATTGTGGTCAATATTATTGCTAATAGACTTAAACCAGTCCTTCCTTTCATCATCCATGAAAGTCAATATGGATTCATTGCCAACAGATGTTCCACTGATAATATTACTCTGGTTGCTGAATTACTCAAAGTCTTTAAGGGCTCCCATAAGCTTTTTTGTGCTAAGCTTGATATTTATAAAGCATTTTATTATGTTTCTCAGAGGTTCTTACTGAACAGATTAAGACAAAAAGGTTTCCCATACGCCTTTATTAAATGGTTCAAATGTTGCATTTCTGAGGTACACTTCTTTATTTGTCATAATGGCTCATTAGAGGGTTTCTTTAATTCCTCTTTTGGGCTCCGTCAGAGGTGTCCTTTCTCTCCTTTTCTTTTCTGCATTGTAACGGATGGGTTGTCCTCTTGTCTCCACAACCAAAACCAACCTTCCTTTGTGGGGCTTAACCAGAAGAATTTTTGCCTTAAGCATCTCATGTATGCTGGTGATCTTTTGGTTTTTGGTGCTGCTACTTTGGAGAATATTAATTGCTTAGACTCCAACATTTTTGTGAGGCTTCTGACCTTCACATAAACCCTTTGAAAAGCTCCATTCTTTGTTCTAGAAATGTGGAGAATGTGGACTAAAATGCTTCCTCCCTTGGAATTTCACATATTGATGACTCTCTTATCTATTTGGGTCTACCTATTGCTACCAAAAGGCTCAATTTCACTCACTTCCAACCCCTTCTGAGCAGGATTTCTGCTCTACTTGAGGGTTGGAAAGTTAAATTTCTTTCTTTTGCAAGTAGGGTGCGCTTTTTGAAATTCACTATTGTCAATACTATTGCCTATTGGATTAGGGGAGCTATCATACCCAAATCTTTCCAAAAAATTATTTCAAAGCTCTGTTCTAAGTTTCTTTTCTTTGGCAACATTAAAGACAAGAAAATACATCTAATCTCTTGGGAAATAATCACTAAGCCAAAATTTAAAGGATGTTTGGGGAATCCTTCTTTTGATTCTCTTTATCATGGTGCTGCCTGCTCAATCATTTGATGCATGTTCAATGTCAACTCCTTGTTGGGGTATTATTTAAAGAAAATTATGAATCTCCTTGGAAGCCTCCCCCTTCATTAGCCTCCAAATTCTGGAAGTTAGTTTGCAAGATGACACATGACATTAAGGAGTATCTTCATTGTAGCCCCTAATTGTAATTTCTCTTTTCTCTAGGATCCTTGGTTTAAAGGTGATTCCTTAGCAAGTTCTTTCAATTGCAATAGTCTTGACTTTTGTGTTGTGTAAGATTTTATCTCTAATGGGCATTGGGTTCTTCCTGAGTATTGGCCTACAGATATTAAATCCAGCTTTCTTAACATTAGCATTGAGGAGCAACCAATTTTGGCTTGGGATGGCTCCTCTAAGCCCACTTTTAAGAATTTTACTACTCTGTTTTATTCTCCTCTGGATGTTGTGAGTTGGTCTAAGTATATTTGTCATAAGAGGCATGCCCTCCGTTTTGCTTGTTATTCTTGGAAGGCGATACAGGGAAAGCTTAAATGTGTGGAAATTCTTATTTATAAGGGGATTCCTGCCTCCCTATATTGTTCTTTTTGTATTGGGCACAATGAATCACACTCTCATTTATTTTTTAAATGTGACTTCTCCTTCACTGTTATTACTAGTTTACTCCATGTGCTTAGGTGCTTCTACCTTAGACCAAATCTGCCCCAAACGTATGAATACTTTAGTAACAATCCTCAATTTAATGTTTGGAAAAAAAAAAAATTGTTCCCTCAACATTTCTGTTGTTGTTTACTTCATTTGGAAGGAAAGAAATAAGAGGATATTTTCTAATCACTGGGACAGTCCCTCTTCTGTTAAAGATGTTATTACCAATGATATTCATGCCAAGGTTAGGAAATGGAAGTCATGTGAAAAGATGGAGGAAAGGTTTATGAAAATTCAGGGTTAATCATGTTTGGCTCTTCTTGGACTGGATGGTTGTATGCATTTTATGGAAGAATTTTATCTTAGTGTTGGGTTTGTTCTGCCCGTTTTCTCCCCAATTTGGATGGCATGTGTTAAGCCATCTAAGGTTTTTGTTATTCCGGTTACATGACGAGCTTATTCTGGTTGTTGGCCAATTTTGGAATGCTTTGGGTTATTTTTTCTGCTCGCTACTGGGTTTGTTTAACCCAAATTATTAGAGCGTATTTCTTAGGATCTCTGTAAACTTTTATTTTGGAGGTGGCTTAATCTGTTTAGCTGTAGTTTTTTGGCTGATTTTTAGGATTTGGATAATGATGAGCCAAGGTCTACACCATCCAATTCCCTTGGATGGTCATTTTGGGCAACCAGGGAATTCTTTGTTGTTGGAAATTTGGGTATTCTTCTGGACACTACGATGGTCCTTATGTCAACCTGTGTGGCTTGTGGCAACTAGTGTTCCTTGCAGCTGCTGGGTTTTTGGTTTTCGCTAATCCTGATTGGTGCTATGATGCATTTGGTATAGACCTTATTTGCTTGAGTCCATCCTTATTTTGATACTTCCTTTTGTTTATTGGGGGTATAGGGTTTTTACTTGTATTTTAGTTTTTTTGAGGTTTTTTTTTACTGATTTGTAATCCTCTTTGATTCAATATATGGGCTTTTGCCCCTAATTTTCCCAAAAAATACTAACAGCCACATCATGTACTATTTATAATATTTTTTATATGTAGAATTCTCAGTAACACTTTTAACCATATAAATAAAATGTGAGGAGTCACCTTTTAGATTTTTCATGTTTTTTAATTATTTTCAAAAATACTATAATTTTCCACTAATTCTTCGTAATCTCTCACTCCTTACCAAATTTTCTGGCTCTATTATGTCGATCAATAATTTGTATTTCATCCACGAATAAAATGGTATCCAACAATCAGGTTAACGAATAATATTTAAATACTTTTAAATTATATATATATATATATATATGTGTGGATTTGCAGTCTTAAAGAAGCAGCTTTGAGTGGTAGCAATTTGAATTTTTCAAGCTTAAACACATCTACTAATTTCAATTAAAAAGGCTTGGGTAACAAACATTGGACTTGTGTAGCAAAATAAAAAAGCAATGGCCTTATGTTAGAGATTTGTAGAGGTGTGTGATCTATGGAGGGATCTCATGTGTGTGATTTGATATTATTTGCTAGAGGAGATTTGTGTGTTGATCAATTACTTGCAATTTTTCCACTTCTGGGAGAAATGGGAAATGCGTATAAGTAGGTTTACTGATTATTTTTTGGTTATTATAAAATTTAAAATTAAAATTAATAATAATTTGAGATTAATTATATGACAAAAATATACATTAGCCTAGGTTATAAGAAGTTTATAAATAATTGGTCAAAGTCATGTAACTAACAACTTTCCTTTAATAAATTTTCTCTTTCCAATTTTAATATTGTGAAATCAAATTGATTGTTTGATCTTTTTCGATGCAATATAGGGATCACTGCCTAATTCCAAGAGAAGTCACTTCAAATACCGACGAGAAACTTGATTTTACTTGCTTTAGTATTTTATTCCTTTCTCTATTTTATCTACTTTATATTCATTTCTACTTATCAGAAGCTTTTAAATTATAGTATTGCTTGATTAAAATTCAAAATGTAAGTCGTTGAATTAAATGATGACTTATATCTGTGAATCTTCATATTCATTTACATGAAATTAGATTATGTATCATATTAATTGCATTAAAGAACCCAAATCCTACATATTCTTATATTACTACCATTCAACAATTTATGAAACAACTAAGATCATCATTCCCAAAGAATCATGAATTTAACAACAACAAAAAGGTTTAGATTGTATGTAAATTTCTATTTTAGCAATGGGATTTACAAAGAATCGCCAGCTATATTTAGAAAGAAAGGATCATAAAAAAGAGCAAAGCTAAAGCATCATTCCAAGTGCAAGAAATCAGAAGGACGAAAGTTGAAGTTGAAAAAAATAAATAAATAGTTGCAAGTACGCACGCTAACGTCTGTTTGGTGATCATTTTCACTAGCTTGTTTAAGTTTTGTTGAAGTATCCTTCACCAACTGCCCAATATGCAGCCGTGTCTTGTGCCTGCCAATAAAAACCTAAATTAGAGAAGATTCTACCAAGACAAATATAAGAAAATATAGGTAAAGAAAGTACAAATCTGTCAAAGAGTTAAGATAAAATTTTCCAAATCTATGATTTTCTAATAGGCTCCCCATTCATGGAATATGTTAAATTAAAATTTGAAAGCCTTCGGGCATTAATTTGATCTGGCCGAACGGATAAAAAGGGCAAGTGCCCTTCCCAATCTTCTATCTGATTAATGCCCGAAGGCTACCGGATTTTCAAGAGAAACAAAAATGTGTATTTTAAATAAAAATTAGTAGGTTGCGCACAATTGGAGGATCCTAGAAGACTAATTTGAGGTTGATATGTCCCCCAAAGCCCTTAGATGTTGATTTGATGCGGTCGAGCAGATTAAAAGGGCAAGTGCCCTCCCTAACCTCCCCTCCTGAGGAGGGGGCGTTGAAAGGCTACCGAAATTCTAGGAAAATGCCGAAGCACAAATAGGTGCTCAAAGATCAATATCGTGGTTGATTCGCTCCCATGAAGCCCTCAGCCATTAAATCCTATCCGGCTAGGTGTATTTGAAAGGGCAAGAGCCCTTCCTATCTCCCTTAGCAAGGAGGGGGCACTCGGAGGCTGCCGAAATTTAAACTGACAATGCACAGGACTTAAATAATTACAGGGAACAAAATCTAATATTTAAAATGAAACCTATAATTTTGCAAGGTAAAAAAACTAATCATGCAAGGAATGATCTTTCAATAAACAAAATTGCCAAATACAATTTGTTTGCAAGCGATGGTCAAAGAGAATTGAGGGAAATAAAATGGCCAAATTACAAATAGTGGCTCCTGATGAATATGCTTACTTGCTAAAAGGATAGTATATGGATACAACTCATATACAATTATCCCCAGTTAACTTGTAAATGAAAACACTAAGCCACCTATGAATAACAATAATAGACATGGTGCAAATTTCACCTACATGCGGTAGCCAAGGACCTACGATCAATATCAGTCAACTTGCAGACGCATACGACAATCTCCTATGAACACAAAATCAATGTGGAATGAATATACCAACTCATCGATCCACACACATGAAGGAACCAGTAGTGAATGTAACCAATTTGACAATCAATATTGACACGCAAGCAAATGTATCAGTTCATATGAATACAAGAAAGCCAACTTGCAAATGAATACACAAACCTGCTTGCAATCAACAACATTTAACTAACGAGCAAGTGCATTAGTTCATTTATGAACAACCGCAACGAACATAGCAACTTGCCAGTTAATAAGCATAGGAAAATCATTAATAAATGCAGCTCGACTGGCAGCCCATATCAGCATGTAAATGAGCACACTAAACTTGCTCGTAAATGATAATACTCCTTACAGACATACATAATGCGACATATGATGAATGCAAACATCTGCTAGCAATGACAAAATATTTTTCCAATGCATAATAGTCGCCTACGAATGATAGTCAACAATAGGCAATGGATGTTGCGACACCCTTACAATCAACAACTATTCAGTGTCAAACAAATACATTGATCTCATAAAAGTAAAGGCAGTCAATTTGTGACAAATGCAAACACTTATGAGCCACTAAAGGAGTCCCGTCATGTATACAACTTGCTATCTACGAGCAAATGCAGAAGAGTGCAGTAAATGCAAATGTCTATAAGCAGCGCTAAAAGATTTACATTTCTTGCCACTTTCTTGCATGTGTTGGCAAAAGGCCTATAATGCATATAGTAATTTACCTACGGGTAGCAATAAAAGATATGCATTTAGTGCTGCTTACCCGCAGATGGCGACGGAAAGCCCATAATGCATACAACAGTCCTACTAACAAGTAAATAAAGTGAATGTATTGCAAGTGTAGTGGATCCTCTACAAGCATGAGTAAAAGGATTACAGCAAGTGCGATACACCGTCTACAGACAAAGGCAGCAAGCCTGCGATGAATGCAAACATCTATGAGCAACTGCAAAAGATTCGTAAGTGCGCGATAGCTCATCTGTACGAAGCGGTAAATAACCCGTAGTGCAATGATATGATTCACATGCAAGCAACAATAGAAGATTTGCAATGAAAGCTATAGATCACTGGCAAACCAAAGTAGTAAATTTGTAGTGCGAGGTTAACATGTCAGATAAATCAATCTATTTGCAAACGACAAGTAGAAAGCTCCCGATGCATCGTACAACGTATTTGCCAGCAAAAGTGCACTCTGCGAGCTGAATACTGAAAAAAATGATAACATGCAAAAGATTAAATAAGCTAAATTGCACTACTGATGCACGACAATTGAAACTCAATGTACTGCTAAACTATATCATCGAATCCTAAACACTTGTACAAGCGGACAGAAAACGATACCTCCATAATAGCATCAATCTATATGTTAAAAATATATCTTGCATGTGCTCCGACAAATGAGCTAAATTTGTCAATATCAATGTCCGAGAATGTTACACGAGAAAAAAATTTCTAGCGTCATCCTCCTTGAAAGGATTGGAGTTTACATAACTTGAATTATAAGATGCTTCCTAAATTACTACAAAATACAGTGACTTTAAAATCACCTCGATGATGACCGTGTTAAAAGCTAAACTCAACCGGAGGGGACCACAAACTTTTAAAATGTCTTTCAAATTCCTACGAAAATATAAGTGACTTTGACGTCATCCTGAAGATGATCGTGTTGAAAATAAATCTCAATCAGAGAGGTCAATTCTCAAAAGCTTATTAAAAACTTCAAAATTTAATGCTAGTTCATAAGCAGGAAAGAAATAGAAACCACAAAAAATATTAAAGTTTCAGGAGGCCATAAGGGGGAAAAAATCACTTTCGTTAATGAAATCTAAAGGAATTCTACACAAAATATATTCATGCGCATTACAAGCGGCTACCAGCAAAAAGCAAAAAATAGAATAGTTGTGTGATCAAAATTCCGATGCACATGGCACCACAGATTTTCTTCACAACATTTTAAGAAAACTTCTTTAAAATAACAGTATAGACTAGTTTGCCCGCTAAAAGTTCCGAATAGCATTATCATGTTGTCCGTGCAAGGTCCGTACATGTTATATCTACTACGGTCAAAGCTTTCTTCGAAGAAATTGAATCCCTCCCATCTTATTGGAAGACAAAGGACAAATCAGGACTTGCACATTAGCAATACCAGCTTAATTCATGCGGACGAAAGCATAAACCAATCAACGCTACAAGTCCAGAACCTCATAAGCAAAACTGCAAGTTTTATGAAACACTGGCTTCATCCCTTTCATTCAAAATCCTACCTTTAGCTATTTTAAATCTTCATATTAACCCTAATCGAAATTGTTATATCTAAAGACAGAAATACCAGAACGATGAAGCAAGTAATAGTTATTACGGACCAATAAACCCCAAAGCCAACACCATGGAATCCAACGCGGCACAGGCTCACCAACATCCTTTTTTGCCCAATTTATCCCACGACAGAAGTAAGATTCTTACAACGAGAGAGTCGTATTTCAAATTTGAAAAACGGAAACCAGAGCGATTAGAACTGAGGAAGCTTACAGTTTCTCGCGAAGCTCAGGTGTATCCTTTGGGGTTCCGAGCGTGTTGACTAAACGCTGGAACGTGGAAACGGCAGTGTTGATCTGGAACACTCCGGCGGCTACGGCCTGTGTTGGATCCTGCTTGCCGTTGATGAGATTCTTCCTACCCTGAAGCTGCCGACCGGATTCCAGATCCTGGAAGCTCATATCTACAAAGTATAGAAAATGATTGGGAAAGAACAAATCTTGAACCCTTCAAACCCTAACCCCTATGCCGAAATGATCCCGGCCGATTCGTTGGGAGAGGCAGATAATCTAGATCCACGAGATAGAGAATTAGAAATGGGATTCTTCTTCTTTTTTTGATTTCAACTAAATTTAAATTGTCTAAGAAACCAAAGAAATGAAGGTGAATCCTTCAGCCTCAACAGAAACAACGAAGCAAATTCTATGTCGAGTTACGATGAGTTCTGCTTTAACCTTTCTTACGAATAACTACTAAATTTTATTTTTATAGAGAGAGTCGAAATTAAACCTTTAGGAAATTTAATTTGATACTAATAAAAAAGAGAGATACTATAAAGTCCATCTAAATGGTTATTGAGCATGTCATGATTGAAGATTGTTTGGTAACCCAAATTGTGGTTTGATCCTTCCAAAAGTGTTTCGGGTCTTTGATTTGGACTCATTTCGGCTCGGATTGAGTCGATTTTGGTGTCGTTGGGTTTTTGTTTCTAAGACGCTCAGTTCGACTGTAAGTTTAAGTTTGCTGAAATCTGATTTCAGATGGTCTCCGATCTATTTTTTGAAGTTTCCAACTTGATTTTGCCTCGAGATTCGTGCTCGATCAATGTAATTTTTTGATGATGTATCAAGAAGAGTATGTAAAGTCAATTTTGAATAAAATTAATAATCTAATATTATTTTATTAACTAATAATATAATATTCGATTAAAAATTCATTTATAGTAAATAAATATAAATTTTAGATGGCTATAAAATGGCTAGTCATTTGGAAAAGTTAAAAAGTTGTCATATGCATCTAAAATAAGGCAAAAACGACTACCTAGCATATAACATCAAAATCAAGGGAAATTTACATACATACCACTTCATAACATACTATTTACATATCTAACACCTAAAACTTTAATATTACATGCATACCACCACCCTATATTATTTTAATATCAAATATACCAATTATATTTTTTTCCTACCACTCATATATTTCATTTCTACCACTCATATTTGGTATGAAAATGAACCATGGGTGGTATGTATGTAATATTAAAGTTTTAGATGTTAAATATGTAAATAGAATAGTATTAAGTGGTATATATGTAAATCAAAGTTTAAAAAATTATTATAAATTTAATTTAGCTCCAAAGTGAGTCATGTAACCTATACATTTTTATCTACAAAATCTAAGGAATCTAATAAAATTAAAATTACTCAATTTTTTATCAAAATAATATCATATACAACAAAATAAAAATTTATGCATATATTAATGTATTTAAAGACATTTTAAATATTTATATAAAAATATGATGAAATTTAAATAAACTTAATTATATATCAGTAAAATTAAGCAATCGTAGTCTGGAGATGTTGATCGGAGAGACTCTAGTCGACGGGTGACTGAGGTCATAAAAACTGTAGTCGAGCGACGGTAGTCAGAAGGACCGTAGTCAACTGGCGACTAAGGTCTGGAAGATTGTTATTGAGCGATAATGGTTGGAAGGACCGTAGTCAAGCTATTGAGGTCAGAAGAATCGTAGTCGGTGGACAACTGAGGACGAAAAGATTGTAGTCAACGCGGTGGTCAAAAGGGTCGTATTTGGCAGGCAACGATCTTCAGAATGAAATCTTGCGACAATTAATTGGTTGGTGTTCGGGCGTAAGTCTGGCAAAAGTATGGTGACGGTCGGTGGTCGAGGAGCTTGGTGGCAAGAGAAATTTCATATTTCGCTTCCTCTCCTTTCTTCTTTTCCTTCCTTCCCCCCTCTTTAGTGAAGAATGAGGGGTCTATTTATATTTTTTTGTGAGTGACATGACTAGTAAATAGGAGGAAGCTCAAAGGCATGTATAGCGTGTTTTTAATGGACGGTCAAAATCGATTCTCTTGATTGTGGATCATTTATCTAGAAATTGGGAGTCTTAATGATGTAAGAATTTGACAATATTGGACTCATTTGATTTATCTCATTGAGCCGCTTGATTCGACTATAAGCATGTCACATTTAAACATCATTAGATTGTCCAATTTATAGTTTGAACCTTCCAAATGCGCTTTGGGTCTTTGATTTGGACTCATTTGGGTTTGTATTGGGTCGAATTAGGTGTCATTGGATTTGACTTTTTAAGACGTTTAGGTCGACTATAAGTTCGCTAAATTCGGAGTTCGAATGATCTCGTATTATATTTAAAAATTTTCGATTCAAATTTACCTCGAAACTTGTGCACGACGATGAAAAATTATTTGATGCTTTATCAATGTTCCTTGTGCTAATTTTAATAACTCCTTTTAAAAATTTGTCATCTTCTAATTAAGCTTTTAAAAAGTAATACATTATATTTTTTATATTTAAATAATATAATGTTAATTTCTAGATATTAAGAAACATATTTGAGATTTTATGTTATTTTTATCATTCATAAAGACATCTTAGCTTCTCACATACTCTCCATACTTACTTATTCCCTCTATCTATTCTTTTGCTTTAGCATGCTCAACATAATAGAAGAGTCAAATATCATCCATAGATAAATTTGGATCCAACAAAGAATATTACCCCCTTGATTAGTGCTCTTAAGATGGGCAAATTATTGCATCCGGTCACCGGACGCGGATAATAGGTTCGGACTTCCAATAAAATTTTGCCACGTCACCTGCGCTTTTGACTTGCGCTTTAGTTGTGTTTTAGTTGCGCTTCACCTGCGCTTTTGATGCGCTTAATTTAAAATAATATTTTATTAATATCCGGACCTATCTCCGCGTCCGGTGACCGGATGCAATAATTTGCCCTCAAGATGAGTTCTCTTTAAGCGAGTATTTTTATGGTGAGTGCACATGAGGCGAGTGCCCCTTTGTAGATGTCCGTTGATATTTCGGGTAATTCACCTTTATCTCGTTGACTTATCAAAGTACACAGATTTGGGCGCTCACAAGTAAGGTTCAAATTCGAACCGGTTTGAACCAAATTCATTCATAACCATCTTCAATAACTAATCTGTGTAAATAAAAAAGAGTATTTTAATTTGAAATGTACTTTTAGATATATTTTCCTAAATAATAAACAGCTGATATTTTTTTTTCCTCAAATTTTACTATTATAGTATTATGAGAGGCATTTAAATTAGAAATTCTAATATTCAAATCCCCAATTATTTGTTTGCTGTAAGCCTGTAACTGTTTAGCTTATATAATAATAATAAATAAAAAAAATCTCCTTTTTTTCCTCGGCCATTTAACGCACGAAGGGCAGCTGTAACCCCGGTTGTCGCACAGATTGGTCTGTCTAACCACTCGATCTGTTATAAAAGCACTGTGTGTTCACTGAGCTGAAGAGATCGAGCGAACAAGAGGAAGAGAAAGATGAAGAGATCGTTAGCTGATTTGCTGAGTTACTTGATCAGACGCCCGTCGCCGCCACCCTCTCTGTCACCGCCGCCGGAGGAGATGGCGGAGAAGCCAAAGGGGAAAAAACACAGCGGCTGGAAATGCATGCCTTACATAATAGGTAGGAAAAAAATTTACTTTTCATGATTCGTTTCAATCATATTGGTAATTTTCTGTTGCAGTTCTTAGTTTTGGCTCAGATCCTGATGGAGAAGAGTTTCTATGCAAGAAAATTTTCTGATTTAGAAAAGATTTCTTAATATTTTTTTAAAGCACTTTTTAAGTACAAAAATTTTTAATTAAATTTTTTTTATAAAAAGTTAGATTTAGAAAACAGTTAAAAAATTGTCTCAAATGAACAGCTTTATTATTGCTTCTTAAAGCAGCTTTTTAATACTAAAAAACTGTTTTAAGAAGCAATAAAAAAGCTGTCCCAGTCTTAAGTTTCATTTGGGTGGCTTTTTTATTGTTTTCAAAATCTATTCCGAATGAAGCTTTAGGCTTCATTTGGAACGACTTTCTTTCTGCTTTTTAAAGCGGCTTCATAATACAAAATTTTAAATTTTCGTACAATAAAGCCGCTTCACAAAGCAGTAAGAAAACCGTCCCAAACAAAACCTTTAGGACGGTTCCAGTTTTTTATAAATGTTATTGTCAAGACGTTGTGAAAACATGACTTTTTAGAAAGCTGTAGTAGAAAATTGCTTCTTATGACAAAAAATATCTTAAATTCAATGAAAAAATAATTAATCTAAAAACAAAATAGTAAGAAATCCGACTTTATTTCAGACAACTTTCTTCCTATTTTATGATGCATCTTTCACAAAAAAAAAATACTAAGAAACTAGTAAGAAACCTGTGGCAAGCAAAACATTAATCATATAAAATTTTTATTTTCATAAATTATATATCAGCATGGAAATATAATTAAAAAATTATTTATTTTGGTGATAATTTGTGCAGGAAATGAGACCTTTGAGAAGCTCGCCGGCGCAGGTCTGCTGGCGAACTTCACAGTGTATTTGGTGAGCGAGTTCCATATGGAGCAGGTGGAGGCAGCTAACGTGGTCAATATTTTCTTTGGAACAACCAACTTTGCACCGTTGGTTGGCGCCTTCCTCTCAGATGCTTATGCAGGCAGATTCAACACTCTGGCTTTTTCCTCCATCATCTCTTTCTTGGTAAATATAATAAATTCTTTCTTTCTGTATTTATATATATTTATTTTTTTTTACTTTTTCATTAAAGAACAAAAATATTGAATTAGTCCTTTAATTTTTTTTAGGAATGGTCAAAATAGTTTTTGATTATATAAATATACTAATTTGATCCGACTTCTAGATTTCGTTTGGGATGGTTTTCTTGATGCTTCTTAAAACGGCTATTTAGTACAAAAAAAATTAGTTTTTATACTAAAAAGTCGTTTTAAGAAGCATTAAGAAAGCCATCTATAATGAGGCCTTAATATAAACTAAAGGCTTCATTTGGGACAGCTTTCATACTCTTAAAACAACATTTTAGTATAAAATTTTAATTTTTTATAGTAGAAGGTGCTTTAAGAAGCAGTAAAAAAGCTGTCACAAACGAAACTTAAAATAGTCCGTCTTTTTTTAAAATGACAAATGTTGACATCATATAAATTAATGTGGACCCTTCAAATCATTAACAATGTTAGTTGGGGTACGAGCGAGCCAAGCTTACTTATGAGCTACTTCGAACTCGACTCGTGAGTCCAGCTTATCGAGCAACAGATTCGAATTCAAGCTCATATACTATACAAGTTCAAGCTCGAGCTTGATGCAGCTCTGCCATGAGCTTGCTAAACCGGCTTTATTAATATTAATTAACACACCAACATTTATATTAACATAATTAATTATTAAAATGAGTCAATCTTAAACTTTCTTATCTAGTTTGCGCATTTGAGTCGGACTCGAGCCACATATATTTCACTCGAGCTCATCAAATGAGCTTAAGTCAAGTTCGAGCTCAATATAAACTAAATTAATTTGACTCAATTGAGCGAGAACTCGACTCGACTTAACCCGTTCACAATCCTAAACGTTTAGAATAATTGTTAATAAAACAACCAATAATGACTAAAATTAATATGTTGCTATTATTTTTTTTAATAATGTGAAAATATATCCGAAATATCGATTCGGATCAAATTAGTCCTCTTTTAAATAACAGAATGCTTATCCAAATCCATCAAGAATATATTAAGGTTTTGTTTTGAAATAATTTTTATATTTCTTCTTAAAGTAGTTTTCGAGTACAAATTTTTATAATTTTGTACTAAAAAATTATTTAAAGAAGCAGAAAGAAAGCCGCCCCAAACAAAGCCTAAATCAAAATTCATTTGAATCAAATTTCGACAAGATTCGAATCAATTTTATCGAACTTTATTCGAATATTATTACGTTGTTATTTGAATCTAATTTGAATAATATTTGAATTTTGTTCGGCCTTCACACACTCTGCATCGTGATGCAATCCACAACAAGCCTCTACCTATTGTTGCCTTCATCATGCAAGCTACATCCGTGAAATATCGATGTTCATACCGTCAGTGCGCCCTCCCGTCTTAATGAAATCTAATAAGATTCATTAACCCATACTCTAATTTGATATGAAAAATATTCAAGTGGTGTTCGTATGGTTGACCTCAAAAAGCAATTCCTGAATTCAAAAGAGGAGTAATTTGATCTAAAATGAACTTTCGTGTATATTTTTTGAATAAAAGAAAGAAGGGACTTTTTTTTTTCTAAACACAGGATATCTACCCGATGCCACCCCTAAGGGAGGTGCAAGACAGCGTAACTAATACATCGGTGGGCCTACCAGCAACCAACCCCACAGGAGCACAACCACATAGTTAATTTCTCCCCACTTAAAGAGTCCGTCACATGAGAGAGAAGAATCGAACATAAGTTGAGAGGTTCTCAATCACGCTCGCCCATGAACTCAGCTAAGCCGCTGAGGTGACATTTTTTTTAATCTCAAATAACATTAAAGTTAAATTTTGCTATAATTTTTATGACAAGTGTATGATAATGAATAATAAGATATGATTTAAAAATAAAAAAATATATATATTTAATTCATATCTTATGCACGTAATAAGATGTGAGTGTTAATAACAAATTTAAAAATTATTATCAACATCGTAATATAAAAGTAAACACGTGATGCCGCGCTCAACATTATCAATCAATAAAATAAACGCCATGATTGAATAAGCAATTAAGCATCATTTATTACAATTATTGAGTAACATGGAAATAAATTTTATAAAAATATTTATTTTGTATTTCTTAAGATTTGTTTGAGACTGCTAATGTTTTTTTTTAAGAAATTACTTCTTTTTATTCGCATCTTTATATTTTATTAAAAAGGAATTCTTTTCTCCGGTCAGGGAATGCTGACGCTGACGCTCAGCGCTGCCGTCCCCCAGCTCCGGCCACCACGCTGCTCCTCGCCGGCGGCGAACTCTGTGCCCTGCTCGACCGCCTCCGGCCTCCACCTCGGCATCCTCTACCTTTCCATGGCTCTTCTAGTCGTCGGCGCTGGCGGCATCCGCCCCTGCAGCCTTCCCTTCGGTGTCGACCAGTTCGATCGAACCTCCGAAAAGGGCCAAGAAGGCCTCAAACGCTTCTTCAACTGGTACGGATGGAAACATTATATTATTTATTTAAAATGTGACTTAGAAATGAGAAATTAGTATGTGCGTAGGGGTGTCAATTTCGGGTCACGGGTCGGGTTCGGGTCGAATCTGGAACTGACCCGGGTTCAAACGGGTCGACCCTAACCCGACTCGGGTAGACAAACGGGTCGGAAAATCGAACCAGGACCCGACCCAACCCGGTTTGGGTTGCGGGCGCCGGAACGACAGCGGGGGACTCGCGTTTTTTAAACGGGTCAATTTATGGAACCCGAACCCGACCCGTTTTTAAATCGGGTTGGGTTCAACCTGGATTTTCCGGGTCGGATTTTCGTGTCGTGTCAAATATTGACACCCCTATATGTGCGGAGACCAGATGTAAAACGTCATTCAAAGACTAACAAGAATGAGCCCCGTCAGCAGTACTGAGCCGTGCTACTGAGCACTACCAAACAGCAGTATCGAGCAAGAGGTGATGTGGCGCATTCTTGTTGGTCTCCTGGCGGAGTTCGGCGTCCACACAAAATAATTTTAGGGAGAAATAATTAGGCTTCATTTGGGAAGGCTTTCTTACTACTTCTAAAAACAGTTTTTTAGTACCAAAATTAGAAAGATGTTTCGAAAAATAGTAGTAAAGTCGTCCCAAACAAAGCCTTGATGTGAAAGGTGCACCCAACAAATGTGAGAGTTGGGTTTCTTTTGGGACGTCTTTCTTATTGCCTCTTAAAGTAGCTTTTAGTATAAAAATTAAAAATTTTGTACTAAAAAATATTTAAGAAATATTAAGAAAATCATACCAAAAGAAACTTTGGTCTATCCTAAACTTGATATTCATCCTTATCTAATAATTTATAATAAGGGTGAAAATATTAAGCTAAGTTTTAGGAATTTATTATAACATAAATCACTTTCAAAAATTCAATAAAAATTTTCAATTATATATATTTACGATTTAAGACGATAATTTTCTCATCAGAGATTCGTATTCGAAGCACCGGTTATTTATTTCTTAAATTTATAATTAAATTGACTTAATAAACTAAAAATTACCAATGCAAGTGATACTACTAATTAAAAAATTACTATTTAATATTTTTAATAAATAATTTTAACATTAAAAACTTTAATCCGAATTGTTGAGAGTGAGGCTTCGTTTGGTATGATTTATTTGATGTTTCTTAAAGAAACTTTCTAGTACAAAAATTAATTAAAATTTTGTACTAGAAAGCTTATTTAGGCTTCATTTGAGACAACTTTTTTGCTGCTTCTTAAAGCAAATTTTAGTATAAAAATTAAATTTTTTGTACTAAAAAGTTGTTTTAAAAAACAATAAAAAATAGTCCCAAACAAATTCTTAAAAAGCAATAAGAAAACTGTCACAAACGAACCCTGAAGCTTCGTTTGCGACAGCTTTTTTATTGCTTTCATTAGTAAGAAAGTTGCATTAAGAAACAACTTTAAACAACTTTGTTTGAGACGGTTTTCTTACTGCTTTTAAAAATAAAAAATTGTATACAAAAAAGTTGCTTTGAGAAGCGGAAGAAAGCCACCCTAACATTATGGGTGTCAATTTCGAGTCATGGGTCAGGTTCGGGTTGAACTCGAAACTGACCCGATGCTATTTAGGTCAATCCGATTCTCCGAACTTGACCCATTTTTGCAAACGGGTCTATTTTTGAGATACGAATCCGACCCATTTCGGGTCCAGGTCAACCCGACACAACCCGAATGACCCAGGGCCGATTAAAAATTAATAGTTTTTGGGTCAAAACAATAAGTCAATCTCTGATTTTTGGGTCAAAAAAGGGTAATTCTTGATTTTCGTGTAAAAATGGGTCAATTTCAGGTTTTTGTGTCAACCCAAATTCGACTCGATTTTTGAAACGGGTCAATTTGTTGAACCCGAATCCGACCCATTTCTGATTCAGATTGATCCTAACCCAAAATTTTTGGATCAGGTTCGTATATATTTTTTGGGTCGTCTCAAATATGATCAAAAACATGTTGATCATGAAAGTGTGATCATTTATTAAAAATTTCTATTTTATTATAATTTCATTTATTTATGTTCTAATAAATATTGATAATTCCAACAGGTACTACTTCACCTCAACTCTTGCTCTGTTCATTGCCATGACTGTGATGGTCTATGTCCAAGACTCCATCAGTTGGTCCATTGGCTTCGGCATTCCCACAAGCCTCATGCTCCTCGCCCTCATCCTCTTCTTCCTCGGCACGCCTCTTTACGTTCATGTCCCTCCCAACGGCAGTGTCTTCTCCGGCATCGCCCAAGTATTCGTCGCCGCCTTCCATAACCGCCGCCTCCCTCTCCCCTCCTCCACCGCCGCACTCTACAACCCAATCTCACACGACGACCGTTATGTCACCCCTCTCCCACTGACCCACAGCTTCCCTTTCCTCACCAAAGCTGCCATCTTGTCCCCTTCTATCGGCTCACCGCCGAGCTCCTGGCGACTCTGCACCCTTCAACAGGTCGAAGAAGTGAAGTGTTTGATCCGCATCATACCAATCTGGGCCTCCGGAATCATTTGCTTCATCGCCCTAGGCCAACAATGGACTTTCGCCGTCCTCCAATCGATGAAAATGAACCGTCATCTAGGTCCCCACTTCAAGATCCCCCCTGGTTCCGTCGGAACAATCTCCATGCTCGGACTGACCTTCTTCATTCCAGTCTACGACATGGTGATTGTTCCAGTTGCTCGCCGGATCACGAAGCTTGAGGGAGGGATCACGCTTCTGCAAAGGCAGGGGGTGGGGTTATTCATATCGATTTTGTCGATGGTGGCAGCGGCAATGGTGGAGAAGAAGAGGAGGGAGAAGTCTTTGGAAGGGGTGGCGATTTCAGTACTGTGGTTGGTGCCACCATTGTTAGTCATGGGAGTTGCAGAGGCGTTTAACGGGGTGGGGCAGATAGAGTTCTATAATCGACAGTTTCCGGAGCACATGCAGACATTGGCAGGATCTCTGTTCTTTTGCAGCTTGGCCGGAGCAAGCTATTTGAGCAGCTTGTTGATAAGTGTGGTGAGGAAGGCGACGTATGGGGGAGGGAAGAGGAGTTGGCTTGAGGATGATATTGATAAGGGAAGGCTTGATTATTTTTATTATTTGATTGCAGGGATGGGGGTTGTGAATTTGATTTATTTTGTGATTTGTGCGAGTTTTTATAGGTATAAGGGAGTGGAGGAAGTGAAGGTGGTGAAGGAAGGGGGTGGCGAGGGAGATATTGAGGTTTGTAAGGTTGTTAAGTCTGGAGAATTGTAGAGATTTAGGTTTGGTTTCATTTAGGACGGTTTTCTTACTACTTTTTAAAACAGTATTTTAGTACAAAATATTTACTTCAAGAAATTTTTTGTGCTAAAAACTTGTTTTAAAAAGAAGAAAAGAAAATTGTCCCAAACAAAATCTTAGGCTTTGTTTGAGTCAATTTTCTTATTGCTTCTTCAAGTAGTTTTTTAGTACAAAAATTATAATTTTTGTACTAGAAAGCCGTTTTAAGAAGTAATAAGAAAACCATCCCAAACAAAATTTTAGTTTATAAACTTCTATGAAATTAATGTTTGATAAATAAATAATATATATATATATATATACATATAGAATGTATGTTAGGGGATAATATAATTAATGTTCAAAATTTGTATTAATAGAATTTAATGTTATTTTAATTTTTTTTTTAGTAAGTCTATTTGCTCCTAGTTCATTTTTTTAGGGGGTTTACATACATATCACTTTATTTGATGATATTTACATATCTAATATATAAAACTTTAATATTACATTCATGCCACTCATATAAAATTTTAATATCAAATATATCACTCATATATTTTATTCTTACCATCAATACCACCCTATAAACTTTAATATTTCATTCCATGCAACACCCTATAAACTTTAATGTTTCATTCAATGCACCCATATTTGTTCTATGGGTGGTAGACATGTAATATTAAGATTTTAAGTGTTATATGTAAATAGTATGAAATAAAGTGATATGCATGTAAATTCCCATGTTTTATATTATGTATGTAAGGGTGCTTAATTCAATGCAATGGATGAAGATTTTAAGAAAAAATTGAGAGAGGATATCACATGAATTTGTGCTGAGATTAGTGCTTCTATATAATATCATAAACCACACTAATCTCAGCGTAAATTTAAAGGCTCTTAAGCCTATTTTAATGCAAACTGTCCTAAAATAACATAACTTTCTGATTGATTGCCACATTTGGAATATACAAATTGGAAAATTGCAAAAGAAACAAATGGATCTAATTTGCAATAATCATAATAACATATGAAAGCATCAACATTTACACCACCAAATCCACCATCTTCAATGAAATTCCTTCAGATTTCATAAATTCTGGAAGAAGTTCTCAGAAGGAAGACTGATAGCAATTTTTTTCTGTGAAAAAATAAGTGCTCCAGCAATTCTGATACTTGATTGAAAGAAATTTTGAGATAAGAACATCATTGGATAGCAAAGATTCAAGTTTGATTGCTGGAATTTTCTGTGCCTTCTGATTCTCATGGCTCACTGCAACATCCCAATTTCAAAGAAATTAAAACCAAAAGTATCAAGTTATCACATTTTTTAAGCATTTCTTAACATATATGAGGAGATTGTGTTGAAAGTGGTTTAATTTTGAGTAAGTAAAGAGCATTTAGCATCAAAAAAGGGAAGTGTTAGCATATGTGGTAATGTAGTTCACAATAATGAAGAGACTTTTTTCGAATATGACATAAATATCAAAATGGTATCCTGACTTGCTACAGCAACAACATCAAGCCTTTATCCTACTATTTGAGGTCAGTTATATGAATCTTTTTTCTCCATTGTGTAATGTTAATAGTCAAATTCTCATTTAAATCTAATAAAGAAAGGTCATTTCTAATATTTTCAAAACAAGTCTTTTTAGGTCTACCTCTACCTTTCTTAATATAAGTCAAATCCAATATATCTACTTTCCTAACTGGGTCATCCGAAGACTGTCGTTTTATGCGACCAAACCATCTAAGGCAGCTCTCTCTAATCATATCTTCCACTGGAGCTACTCCAACATTTTCACGTATATGCTCATTTCGTATTATATCTTTAAGAGTAAAGCACTCATCCACCTGAGCATCCTCATCTTTGCAACACTTGACAACATAAAAATCCCACATAAGAATTAATGTAGTCCCTATTTAAAGAATCAATAGACAAATTTGTACTTGTATATAGTTAGATACGTATTTCATATTAAGTTAGGGGATCAATCTTATCATTTTTCTCTTTTAAATATAGATTTATTTGAGGAGTATATCTTTATTATAATATTATCTCCAATACAAAAAAGACAAAAAAGATCAGTATGCTTATTATGTCGACCAAAGCTATCATAATAGGAATCAAGCTTCAAAAGAAGAAATTAAGAGGATCCAAATCTCAAGAAGAACCTTTGGAACACAGCTGAGAGCTTCCATAACCTCTTCAAACCAATAATTTTCTGATTGTAACTTCAAACTAGTTGGATAAAGGAGACCTTCACATCAATAATTTTGTTCATAAGCTTTATGTCTGTTCTCGACCAAAAATTATGTACTAGAACTAAAAAATTTTATACTACAAAGTTATATTTTGTACAAACTTCAAGCTCTTCGCCATGCAAATACAAATTCCCCTTCAATCAATCATATATGAGTCAATAATGAGTAGTGAGACTCGATCACAAGTTGCAAAAATCACAGAAAGTCTCACAAATTACAAGAACAGAGGAGATTACAGAAAATTGATGACGAGAAAGCCACAAGTTGCAGTGAACAGAGAACAAATCAAACAAACTAGAGACCTCCAATTCAAAGTTGAAGAGAGAAATAGCATGTAGTAGAAAAATAGTGAACGACAAGAGGATTTGTGGGAATCATGGGATTTCGGGACGCCGCGAGAGCCACATTGATCCACATCAATGTTGTTTGGCTTAAGAAAATTTGGCTCCAACCAATTTTTAAGTTGATATTTGTCAACCATACTTGGATACAATTCTTAATGTTGATATTAGACCTGCATATTCAACTTTATAAGATATATCTGGTATTTCACCATCAATAGTAGACATGATTTCGGGTTCGTTTGGGACGGCTTTCTTACTCCTTATTAAAACAACTTTCTTGTAAAAAAAATAATTTTTGTACTACAAAGCTATTTAAGAACCAGTAGGAAAGCCGTCCCAAACGAAGCTAAAAAATAACTTCAAAAATATGGTCATTTTGACAATTTAGGTAATATGAAAATGATATGTTAAAAATTAGATTCATAGGAGTAAATAAAAGGAGGAAAGGATTCAAGATATAAAGTAAATTAGACATAATACAATTTGACTAAAACCAGAATTTTCTAGCTTTTCTAGCTTGTAAGCACATGGCCAAATTTTGTGATAAAATACTTAATGACACTATATGGTGAGATGATGAAGCAATAATAAAATAGTAACATGGTTGATAATATATCTTGTTAGCATTATAATGCAATCTTAAGATATGATATCAAATATGAACATTAAGAACATCAAAAAGGTAAAAGTTTCAATGATTTTCTATTAGAAATAACCCATAAATTTCATAATCATAAACGCAAGAAATCAATTGAAAGCCACACTTTTTTTAAATTCAAATTATATCAAACTTGAATAAATCAATCACATAATTATCCAAATAACTAAATTTAGAGTACTATAAAAAGGAAAGAAATTCAAAGCTATAAAATAAAACCTCATGCTCATACAAGGAGATAATTTATCCTTAAGTCCTCAAATCGCTTATTTGACCAATGATTTTACTTGCGAAAGTAAAATGGATGACATAACCAACTAGAAAAAAAGTAAAAAAAAAAAAAACATCATAGATTATATTTTGGGCAAATCAGAGACTACTATTTACAATCTTAAGATCAAATACAAAATTTATTTTAATTATATATATATGAGACAATAAGGAATCACACTTTGTCGCATGCAAAAACATTGCATGAAATTATAAAAATTGTTGAAAGAAAAGTGAACAAAATTCATTGACCAAAACTCACGAGGGGTAGCGAACCAACAAAATCACAAAATTTTGATAACCATAAGATAAAATCAAGGAGAGGAAGCCTGGATCTAATCAAGGTTCGCGGTGGTCGAGGAACCTGATCGAAAAAAGGGACTATAGTTGTTAGATATCTAACGAAACCTTGGCGGAATTGAGATCTCATTCAATGATAACGAAAGCAATAGAGATGTTGCAGAAATGTCTAAAATTAAGTAAATAGCATTACGAACAAATGGATTGGTTCTAATTAGAAAATGAAAAGTTTTGTACAAGTCGTAAAAGTTATATGTTTCATCACATACATTAATCAATTAAATATAAGTTGATACAGAGCTACATGATTTGATTGCGTGGAAAAAAGTCAAAGTCGCCTAAAATATTCAAACAGAGGACACTACAGAACTCATTAAAAAAAAACTCACACGAGGTGTGAGGATGAATCATAAAACTAGAGGCCGTAGAACCCGAGTGAAGACAGAAAAACTCACTAGTAACTAAAAAATAATAAATCATAGAATTCTTAAAAACTCACAAGATCTATGGAAGCTAGGGGAGTCGCATCGGTCCACATCAAGCACAAAATTTGAAATAGATAGTTTAATGATTAAAATATGCTATCCCTCCACTTTTTTGGGGTAAAATCAAGTTTAAAATTTTGTTATTTTGCATAAAACTATATTAAATTTTAAACATGATTTAGATTTTAAAATCAGTTCCCATAAATATATTAAGTGAATGATGTTGTCAATTATGAGATTTTGAGGGTGTCTATTTAGGGCTATGTGTATTAGTTGTGCATGGGTGCTTGTAGTATGTGTGAGAAAGTCAACAAGTCATTTTATGAATCAAAAGAGGTGAGTGTTGCCATAGTCTTAGATTTTTAAAAACAAAGAATGTTGTTTATAAAATATATATAGAAGAGAAGAAATGGAAATATATAAATAATTTTGACAGTGGAGATTGTACTCCACTATCAAAAACAATGAATCTAAATTCATGTTAGTAGATACCTTTTGATGATACTTTCAAGTACATAAATTTTTATGTTATTAAATATTATACATTTATTATCCTTTTATGCTATTCTCATCATGTTTTTCTCATTTCTATTTAGTTTTGAAGAGTATTTTGTTATGCCTCTTGTGTGTGTGTCTA